ACTCAAAAAGAAAAGGTTTTGTGATGCAAAGAATATTTACGTTTGAGTCTATACATATTTTTCTTCCCCTCTTCGCAAGATTGAAATGCGTTTCATAAGTACATTTAGCTTACACATTTAAATGTGGCATTTACAGTGGGATTACAGGGTTCATAATAGACTTAGTAAGCATTATCATGACTTTTTTTGTTTCTTGTATCATAGCACATTTGCATAGTAGTCTATATGTTGGGGAGCTTGCTTAGAGATTGCTAGTCCCCTCTCAGTCTGCAGAGATGAGAAAAACAGCTCCTCCTGTTAAATATTCCCCAATCACTGTGATGAATTTGTGTTCCCTTTCCTTGCTCTCCTGGCAGCCTTACAACTCTAACAGTTTTAACAGAAAGCTTCAACCCTTTTTTCAGAGCACACCATGGCCAGTTGGTGAGAATGCTCTCACTGTCTCCACTAATAAAAAGACACTAGTGGTTGCATCCCCAACAACATAACTTTGCTCTTTTGTGTCTTAATGCTCTGCATCAGAGCACTTGGGAACCCAAGTGGAAAGACATGTCTACTGTAAGTCAGTCTTTTAAATTCGTGAGGGCATGAATTCAGATACACCAAATATGCTTTGTGCACCTAAAAAAACCCCTTGCTCACTACCAAGACTCTTTACAAGTTCATTGAGCTCTCTCCTCTTGCTTTCAGACAATCTTAGGAGGCCTGGATTTTAACACTGGCGTTTGTAATTTAGGTTATATTGATTTATTTTTACCTTTATCTTACAATGCAGATGGGTGTGTGTTTTAGATATTTTCAATAATTAAAGCTCTTTATTTTTTTATCAATGCATTTTTTTTTAATTTTATAAAGATTACCAATAGTAATATGCACATAAGAAATACGAATGGATAGGAAATGTCAGAATTTCCCCATATCCAACCAATAGGCCTTCCTCTCCATTTCTGTAATTCCAATGACCCAAATTATAGAACATACATGCCTGGCAATCACTTACATGAATAATGCCTATTTTGTGGCCCACAAACTCTAATAATAAGATATATTCAGCACACCTTACTTTGCTGATTAACAGCAATTCCATTTATACTGTGTGTTCTCACAGATTGCCATAAAATTATAGAGAATTTGGAAAACAAAATCAGAATTATTTCTTTGATATATGAAACTATAAGAAAAATGTACTTCACTAAAAGGCATTATGCTGAAGAAGTCAATAGACAGTTTGTGAAGTATTAACCAAAAATCTTTGAATGAAGATTTATAATATGGGCATGAAAATTTTAAAATTAAATTCCTAGATTATCTCCTGTTCCAGAAGGCCAGTAGTGCTTTAACATTTTTTGCTGGTATTATACAGTTATCAAGACAACATAATCATCATGAAGATACTAATTTTTAGAGACAAACACGTTTGGGACACAACACAAGATAGAAAAAGACATCAGCATCAGAACCTGCTAATTTACAAAAAGGGCTATTTTTACAAAATAATGACAGGGTGATTTGGAGGTAACAGATGGAAGTAGAAGTAGAAATGTCAAAAGAAAAATGGGAAAGCAAAGGAACATATGAGAAACTGTATTTATGTGCACAATCAATATTCTGTGTACGTTTATAAAGAATGCATTAATAACTCTGCATAAAGGAACACCTGAGGCTGGCTGAGAAGCAGTTTGCCAGCAGGCTGAATAGGAGCAAGGAGATACCATCTTTAAGCACCAAAGACATCAGATCCCAGAAAAGAGGATTTTACGTACTTTAGAACCTCCCTGGCTAATCCAGTAAAAATGTGCAGTGGGAATCACAGTCAGCTGCACTAAATGGCTGCCTACAAGGAGAGTCATCAAGGGTAGGTCCTTTTTATCACAGAATGCCCCTTGAAGACAATGGTAATGTGTTCTACACAACACTGTTGCTGACAGTGAAACTGTAGCCTCAGTGTTGAGGAACAGATAGGAATTTGGACAAACTTGCTTAGACTGAAGTGGGACAGAATTGAGGACTTCTCAAACTATTGTTATATTTTGAGCACAGGTAACACTGTATCTATGAACAATGATTTACCAACTTTGTTGGCTGGAAAACAACTCGAGATAAACACATGGCAAGCTGAAGCAAAGACTACATTCTATACTTGTTTTATTAAATACCTGTTTCTGATATCCTAACTTTAAGATCTTACCCATGCAAGTTTTTTACTGTTTTATTTATAACCCTGACTAATACTATGAGGTGAATCATGTTTCAGGCAAGTCAGAGGTTTGTAGAATGAAGAAAATTTCTGAGGAACGCATGTTCCAGAACATTTTTTAAACTCAATGGGAATTCAGTGTTTTCCGCAAGTCTTTTATGGACCATTGTAGGAAGAACATAGATGTTTTAAATAATAGCAAATGGCCGTCTCATCCAAAAGTATGCCTCTCAAAAGGAGATGACTAGGAAATGTGAATACAGGACAAGCATTTAAGGTTTTTCTCAGCTTTCTCAGCTTCCACCATCTTGTGGTTTAGGAATGTCACAAGCCAGAGGTGATCATGTGGTTTACTAAACAAGAAACAGATTATTTTTTATGACATTTTTGAGCCTCCACTGAACCCATGTAAACCTTTTGGTACCCAAAGAATTTGTTGCTAGGTGTTCCAGAGCTTCACATCACAGTGCATAAAGAATCACTTTGGCTTGTTTTGAACTGGTCACAGGTAATTTGACCTTAATATCTTATTCATACTTTTTTTTTTTATTTATTGTTCTCTTAACTACTCAGGTTTGTTTAGTGTGAGAGTAGTATTCACAGATGGGAATGTGGGAAAGAGTTCCTATCAGCAGATAGATACTGATGTAGTGAGGCTCATTACAAAAAAACATGGCTCCTTACAGCTTCTGGACAAACTTCCATAGTGTCAGACTTAACAGTTGAAATTCACAAAACTCCTGGAAGATCTACCACTGTTCCTCCTTTCTCAAGCTCTAAATAATAGAAGGAAGAAGAGAGCACATTCCTCTCTCCTCATCTTTCACCTGTATGAACAAGCAGTGGAGAAAATAGCCTGGATCAGTCTCTACACTTTCCTTATAACTGGGAGCAAAGAACTCCACCTCAGTTGCCAATTAAGCATATGGGAGATCAAAAGGAGAAGGAAAAGAGCACACTTTTTTTTGTGCAACCACCACTGAAGAATGAAAGAAATACAAGCTTTTTGAGGCAGAGGGAGAAAGAGCAAGATTCTTTCCCTATCACCCATATGCAACTACTGACTAAAAGAACAGTTTCATATGGTAGGCCTCACAAATAGTGTCCATTTCATTGTTGGCAATACAGAATTTTCAAACCCTTTATTCCTAAAGAGGTAATGCTTTAATAATTTTGAACTATTACTTTTCATTTGGTTTTGCATTTTTTCAGTTCCTAAATGCCAAATATCAAGATTTAGTGTAGTTTGATATAAGCACAAATTCACATAGCACAGATGTCATGCAAATATGTTAAAAATATGTTTGATTTTGCTAACAATACAATCAAAACTTGGGATATATTTAGAATGCGTTTAATGCCTTGTAAGGCTATATACCTGGCTACACATGAGCTTTCCCTCTTATTAATCTGAAATGACTACAAAAAAAGCCCAGTCAAAGAGAATTTATGGGCTACTTCAGGCTGAAATTTGGAAAAAAAGAATGTATTGTATATTCATTTATCAATGAGACCTTTTTACAGTCTTGTTTTGTGTCAGATACAGAATTTGCATCTGTTAAGGGGGAATCTTCTAATTCATAAAGAGCCCTACTGAAATTACTTGAGTTCAACCTACAGATTTTCTTCATAACCTTTCAACATACAACTTCTAAAAAGCCATAGTTGTCATCTGAACCATGTCACATTTATGGAATTCCATATGTTACTTCAAATTTCTCACTAAGCAAAACAGAGTCACAGATATACATGTATATAAAGGGATCTAAAATCGAAATCTCATTTGTCTCCATGTCAATCTTTGGACAAGCATTTTTCAATCTGAAGTGAACCTTACACTCACCAAAGAATAAGATAATGCATTCTGCAGTAATGAAAACAGAAGTATAAGAGGAAGCGGTCCTGTAGATAGCTATTAAAATGTCACTAATTTCATGTAAGGAATTAACTTCTTTTGATCTAAATAGTTGCATGTTAATAATAGAAACTTTAAAGTCACTAACTTGGTAGGTAATTGAACAGATAAGTACAGACAGATTTACTACAGAAAAATAAAGAGTAATTTGGAAAAAGTGAGATACATCACACTGATTTCAGCTGGTGCTTGTGGTATAAATGCACTCATAGTATACACTAGTCACAGTACACACAGCTATCAGTTATTAGAGACCAAAACTGGCAATAGAGGTTTGCGCTACAAAGAAAACAACATACTCCACTGTAGATACTAATCAGTTCCAAATTTCTCTTCTGTAAAACCTTCTAAGTGTTCAGTAATAACTTCAAACTTCAGTATTTTGTTAGACATTATGTAACTTGAATTTTTTCTGCAAGTAGGTCTCTTGACCCTCAAATTAATTAGTCTGCTTGTTACTTTTACTTTTATTCTTTCCTAACCTTGCTGGTAGCAGTGAATTTCTTGTGAAGAGCATGGAAGGGAATAGAAAGGCTGGTCTGAACTAATGTGTTGGAGGGAGGAAAAAACCTTTGCAATTTATTAATGTATTCAAAAGACTGTTACAAAACTTTACAATTTAATTATTGGAAGATTATAGAACTGCTTCAGTGCTTCTGTACTCTGTTAAATAAACTGTACGTGCAAGGAGTAATAAATGAAATTGTTAATTTCAGTGCATCCTTAGGGAATAATGGAGGAGGGGGCGGTAGTTACATTATTTAGAGCTCCAAATGGATTTGAGTTTATATTCAGTAATAAATCTTAAATACATTCTTAATTAACCCTGCCTCAAGCCCCTTTTTACCTTAGGAGTTGAGAGACACAGTGTCTGTTAGAATAACTCACCATTCATATTCTTAAAGATGCTTAGGATTGGGAGGATTTGCCGATAATAGGGCACCAAGGCCCTCCCCACCATGTCAGCTGATGCCACCAGGTGCTGGAGGACTTTCAGTGTGATGCAGATGATCTGCCGGTTACGAAGGTTCAGTGCATCTGTGATGTAGAAAGAACAACAGGCAGAAAGCAGAATTAATTTCTAAAATGTAGAGGGAGGGGGAGAAGTCCTCTAATGGACAAATTTAATTAAACTGTACTCTGCTGGGGATTGTAAGTGGCTCTTTATTAGCCTAGCTTTGAAAGATCCCAAAGATGGATTGCAGTCCTGATGTTATAAAACACTGCCTTGTCCGATTGTTATTTGTTCCCACAATTTGTGATGACTCTTCAGTAACCCAAAGAATGCAGCTCATTATTTGCTCATGATGCCTGCGTAATACTGGCATGGTCCAAACAAATAAAAAATAAATGTGCAATAAGTACCATTTGGGGCCAATGGAACTGTACAACTGCAAGACAACCTGCAAAGGTTGACAACAGCTACATTCTAGTGCAACAATTAGTGTTTGTATGTTTGTACTCATTTATTTCATGCTCATTTTATTCACTCAACTAACAATACCTTCTATTATGAGAATCCGTACAATGAAGCAAATGTTTATAGGGAAAAAAAATCCACAACACCCCCCCCCCCCAGCTTTCTTTAAAAGACAAACATCCTAGCAAAAAAAAAAAAAAAGATTTTGTCTTGCCTACTTCAGACTTTTCTCTTAGCTTTCAGCATCATGCTTCTAATCTTACAAAACTAAGATATTTCCTAAATACCTTTTGTTTGTCTTTTAATTTTACTAAAAAAAGTACCTTGCCTTCTCTTTTGTAATTAAAAATGAGTCATGCTTGAAATCTTTTTTGTTTATTTTCTTGCAAAAACTGTCTAGTTACAAGACCTCTGAAATTAGGCACCTGGAATCTGTTGTCAAATTTGGTATGCTACCATAAATCCATAAAATCATAGAATGGTCTGTGTTGGAAGGGACCTGAAACATCTAGTTCCAACCCGTTTGCCATGGGCAGGGACACCCTCCACTAGACCAGGTAGCTCAAAGCCACATCCAACTTCTCTGGGCAACCTGCTCCAGTGTCACACCACCCTCACAGTAAAGAATTTCTTCCTACTATCTAACCTAAGTCCACCCTCTTTCCATTTAAAGCCATTACTCTTTGACCTATCACTACACACTCTTGTAAAAAATCCCTCTCCAGCTTTCCTCATGGGTGGATGTTCTAAGGCTACTTTAGCAAAGAGAAAACTCCAGATACAAATTTAAATATTCAGTCCAAATCTCAGGCAGGAAAATATTCTCTTACAGAGGAACAGGCATTTATTTTCTTAAAAGAGTGATTGGAAAAGAAAGCTCTGGGGTTCCAACATATAGGTTTATTCATAATTAAACTGTCATACACAGAAATAGCAGCTAACTGAACCAATAGCGAAAATATCCTTAACATTTGTGATTTTCAGTACAATAATTATTTGTTATTTATACAAACATGAATGAGTATTTGTATTTACTTGTATGAATAAATTTATATAAACACAAAATATTTTTAATGAATAAAAATATTAATAAAATTAATTAATCATACAAATACTAGTAATTAACTTAAGGGACATCAAAATTTATCAATGACAGAAATCACAGCTTCTTAATCCTAAACCACAGTTTCCTGCTGCATAACAGCTTCCAGCTCCTCCTGCTGTTGCCCATGCTGCATGCACTGGTGTAGTTGCACTTCAGTTGGCTACTGATCCCACCACCTTTGTGGGGGAGGACTTGATAAGCCCTCATGCTTATGTGTCCATTCTCAGGCGCTTCCATGGTTTCTAACACAACAAACCTTGTGTCTTTGCTGCCACACGGATCTCCTACCTCCACTGTAATGGCAGACTGAAGCATCTTGCTAGCACACTGTCCCTAAAACACAAGTGCTGTTCCCAGGTTTATCTCTAGAGATCCTGGTTTTATTCCTTTTCCCTTCAAATCTAGTTTAAAGCTCTTTCAAGGAGCCCTGCTAACTCTTGTGCAAAGATCCTTTTTCCCCTTTGAGACAGGTGTACCCCGTCTGGTGCCAGCAAGCCTGAATGTTATGTAAACTGATCCATAATCAAAAACCCCAAAATTCTGCTGGTGACACCAGGCTTGGAGCCAGGTATCGTTATGCTGGCTCCTTCTGTTTCTTCCCTTATCGTTCCCTGCAACTGGAGGGATAGAGTAGAACACTGCTTGTGCTCGTGATCTGTTAATCAGTTGTCCCAAGGCACTGAAGTCTCTCCTAATTGGCCTTGGACTTCCTGTTGCAACTTCATTGCTCCCTACCTAAAAAATCAATAACGGATAAGAATCTGAGGGCTTTAAGATGCTTTCTCTTCACATCTTTAACTCAGGTCCCAGGGAAACAGCAGACTTCTCAAGGAAGTGGGTCCAATCTGCTCTAAGAAGTGGGTCCAATCTGCTTACTGGGCTTTCTGTTCCCTGCAGAAGGGAGTCTCTGTGACAATGACCCATCTTCTTTTTCTAAATAGAAGCAGCTTTGACAGAGGACGTAGGCTGACAACCTCAGCAACACCTCCAAGCTAGACAAACCATCATCCTCTTTATTGTTTGGCTCCTCTTGCAGATCCTCACACCTACTGTGTACAGTTCTGGTGTCCTCAACATAAAAAGGACATGGAACTGTTGGAACAAGTCCAGGTTGGACAGAGTCTTGGGTGACATGTTTTAGTGTGAGATGTCCCTGCCCATGGCAGGGGAGTTGGAGCTTGATAATCTTAAGGTCCTTTCCAACCCTAACTATTCTATAAGTCTATGATTCTATTATGAAAGGCAGCTGGGAAGGTGGGGTACTCACAGAGGAAACAGGCCTGCTGTGCCAGGCAGGAACTTGTTGCCATTATTGCTTATCCCTTAAGTCACTGTGTTCAGCCAGCTGGAGAAAAGATGGGGAATTCCCTGTATCAGACATCCTGTCTGCCTCTCTCACTCCCACCACTTCCCAGAGCTCTGTCACTAAGTGGAGTTCCTCTGCCTGGGCACACCTCCCACAGATGTGTTTACTGCTGCCGTCTGATAATGGCATAAACGTAGGTCAGACCCTTTGGCCTGGACAGATATGGATGCAGGTGGATAAGGTAGAATAAAACAGACCAAAGAATTTGAGCCTGAAGCCCTTCAAGTTGCAGAATTTTTCAGTGTGTGTTTGGAAAACACTTGCAAATATCAAAAGTAATATCAAATTGACTGCAGAAGTATTGTTATTATTATTAAATATTTGGACTGTGGCATGCATAGCAGTCAAACAGCTCCTGGCTTGATTATATTAGGCACTTCATAAACACTTAATTAGAGACAGTCCCTGCCCCAAGGATACATCAATTTCAAACATATGTTTATCTTTTAAAAATCCGGTAATTATTTTTTGTGTACTACCATCACTGGAGACCATTCTCCCACATGAATCAAAGGAAGAAAATTTTAATGCAGTATATGAAATAAGTACATATCAACATTTTGAAAAATGTCTGTGGTATCTAGAGGTTAATAAAAAGGCAAGAAAGTACTAGTATCCTCACAGAGGAATAAAGCAGACCATTGAAAACTTTTGGCATGATATAGCTACATATCCCTGAAGAAGGAAACATTCATAATATCCCCAGTATTCCACTTTGAAAGCATGGTAGGCTGTTGCCTCCTGACCTAGAAGTTTGCTATAAGACATGGATCTTCACAATAATAGCAAAGTGACTGACTAGTTTGCTTCTCAATTAAAGATACCTCTCTGCTCCCTAAAGGGTTTTTAGAGGACTTCTCTCCCTCACTGGTATATATTTCCCTTTTGGTCATCTAGTCTAAATGTGATGCATTCTATAATTCTCTTAAGAAGCAACTTTGAAGAAAACCCCAACCCAATAAATTGTTGTGTGGCAGTTCTGATGTTTTCTCCTTTAATGGTACATAAGCTTGAGAATTTTGCTTGTGATTAGGATAAACACTTTTCCAGGAGACCCTCTAGACTAGCTAGTTGCTCAATGCATGTACATAATGAAGTATGGAATTGATACATTTTAAAAGCCAAGAAACATAACAGAATTTCTCCCAGTATACAGTTGATCTTTTCCATGAGATAGTGTATTTTTCACAGAAGAGGATGAACCAGAATGCTCCTCCCCAGATAGCACAGTGACAGTTTAAACAAATCAATTCCCCAAACTTCCATATATTCTCTAAAAATTAAATTTTAGATTTTGGTAGTTATATTTAAAGTTATGATGATATTTTAATCATCTTTAATTTGCACTGGCCTTCAATTATATTCAACCCCTTTTCCAAGTACACCTGTGAATCTGTTTAGAAATGCACTGACAGTTTCCTTTTTTTCATTAGATCTCACAACCAAGGATTAAAATCAGCTTAGTTTGCTTTGATATCTCCCTCCTGCCAATTTGTAAATAAGGTACCTGTTTTAGAAAATTCTTTGCCTAAAGCAGAACAAGATATATAGAGCAGGTCTCCTGCAGGACAACAAGCAGTCAGGGAAAAGATGCTTCAATTGTTGTGATCTACTTAATCTTGTTGATCAAGGGCTCTTTTTTAAATTTAGAGGGTCAGGTTAAAGAACTGCTAGCACGAAATGTTCTCAAGAGGCAATTGATTAAAGTGATACGTACCTCTCTTACAGAAAACTTTGTCAAAACTTGAAAAATAATTACCTGAACTGATATAATAGAAGTTTTACATTAATGTTACAGAACAGTAATGAAGGCTGTTACAAAACAAAGTGTTTCAATTAAGTGTGAGTAAAAATCAGAATAACAACCTTGTGTTTTGTACTTTTTTTAATCAGGTAAGGTCCTGATCCAATTCACAATATAAACGTACAAATACTGCTTCCAGTATAACCGAATGAGTGATGTTATACAGTGAGGTGATGGGAAAAAGGAATAGGGGGCAAAACACAAAAACCATAGGCCAATTTTGTCATCAAAGACTTTGTCCTGTGAAGACAAAGCCTAGGACACAGAAAAGGCTAAAATCCGTAAGCGAATAACTGGTACTTGCAAGGAACGTGGTCTAGCAGAATATGAAAGTCAGTTGCTTTTTTTCAGCTTTTGTTGTGGTTGTAACTGTAGTATTTTACTAGATTGTCATCTGTAAAACTTGAATTCTGTTAACATTTGCAAGCCTTTAACTACTATACAGGATTATTATTAACTAGTTAATTAGTTAATTATTACTAGTTTAAAGCAATAATTGATATAAAGAACAACTAGTATAAAGAATACATGGAGAATAAAGTCCCCCAAACCTCAGTGGCTATGCCAGTTTACAGAGCTTCAGTCCAGACCTAGATGTACATCCTTTCCCCTCTGCTGCCTCAAGCTACTAAACTGCACTGAGTATCCACTCCATACTCTCAACTAAAACAGATTTGTTATCAATGAAATGTGACTTCATTTTTTAAAGATTTCAGGAAAGATCTTGGAAACCAGAAACTGGTAATACTGGCATTTGTACTGCAAAAATAGTGCTGTAAATGTGCTGTAGGTCCTTGAAGAAGAAGAATGTGGACAAGAAAAGCCTCTGATAATATGGTTTTCTTACATTTCCAAAACATATTTGATAGGGTCCCTCACTGAAGGCTTTAGAAATATTTTTATTGCCATGGATTCCATATAAATAATTGCTTAGAGATAGGAAATGAGGGCAACAATAAATGGCCACAGAGCAGGAGTATCTCCTAGGCTACTAGACCCTTGCAGGAATCTGTGTTGAAGCACATGTGTTTCAGTACATATTCAGAGATGATTTGGAAGAGATGTTTACTAATGCTAACAGTTTTCTGATAGTAAAAAGTTATTCCAGATGCCAAACTGATGACTTTGAAAAACTGCAGAAGGATTTTATAGTACAGAATAACTGGGTGATAAAATGGCAGATGACATTCAGTACTAAATGTTAAAACCCAAGAAATTAATAAATTCAGGAGACAGTAGCTTGATATCCAACTGCAAAAGTGAGAGACGTTAACTGCAGATTTCACTTTCCAAACATGGATGAGATCTATTTCTACTGAATGAGAACAGTTTCTCCTCATAGACAGGAATGAAAAAGAATCTAGTTTCTAAACCATTTGAAACTACCTGAAATGATCAGGTTTGAGTGGAAGAATCTAGCATAGACTTTCTAATTGCAATCACTTGTGCTGATTGATGGAGCCTACAGGGGACATGTTCTGGTATTTAGGAATCAAGACAATTTTTTCTATTTTTTTAACCAGAGATCTTTGCTTTATTTAAAGCATTGTAGGTCTATACAAACAAGTTTGTTTAGAGTCAGTTTTCAGCCTGTGATCTTAACAACCAGAACTGGTTCTCAAGAGCAACAGTTAGTGGGGAGGAAGGTAGTAATTCATTAAAGGTTTAATTTACTTTCTTTAGATGACAGAAATCAATTTACATGACTTAGAGAAAGAAAAAGACTATAGCCCATAAAACCATATTTATTCAAGAAAAATATTTCAGTATTCAAGGAAGAATATGTGTCACAGAAGGGATTTTTAACAGCACGGGAAAAGCCTCAAAAAGGAAAACTTCAGTGTTTCTAAGGGTGGAAATTACTCTTTTGGACTCAATCAGAAGTCCTGGTCTGCTGACTGCAACTGTGTAGAAACAGTATTTCCATCTAAGTTACAATTTAAGTGTAAAGATGAAAGATTTATTGACTCCTAGACCTAAGTTCAGATTGCCTATGTGTCTGTTTTAGGATTCACAGTACAGAACAGAAAGGATTCTGGAAACTGAGTGATCCAGGATACTTAAGGATTTAATTTTGTATTATTTTCTTCACTAGAACATCTATCAAGATCTTCCTTTTCATCATCTCTCCCTTCATCTGCAACAGTGCAGGTATAAACTAGATCATTTAAATGATCTGAGTTTAAAAATAATGCCACTCTGAAAATATTTTGGCTTGGGCTTACAGTGAAACTGAATCTGAAACCCAGATTCATTAAATAATATTATTATAAGAAAGAAGATAATAATATATAAATATTTTTCATCTTTATGATATAGTGTTCAAGAAGTGTGAACATTAAACAAGAACAGGTGGAGGATAATTTCTTTAATCATTAAAATATAGTACAGAATTCTAACATGTAATTTAAAATGTTTTTAGAAAACAGCTTTTTACCAGTATTTTCCTTTGATGAACATGCAGGAGACAAAAATGCTTTAAAAAGCATTCTATCTGTAGAGTTATTTTTCTGTCTTTCTTTTATCCCTTTCCCTTCTATTGTATATATTATCTTGCCTAACCATTACTTGATTCACTCTTTCACAATAGAAACATGGTATGAGTCTAGAAGAAGACGGGTTAAGCAGATATAACTCATCCCATGGCAGACTTTAGAGACAGTAATATGCGTAAAACATAGCTGAGTTTATTGTGGATGCAGCTGAGTCACAGAAATGTATAGCTCTGACTCCTATATTACACAGTCATAGCAAATTTAGAAACTCTTGAAGCACACTTTCAGATTCCTTGAGATGGCAGTGTCTTTTTAATATTAATATGTCTTTGATTAGGAAGAAGCCTTTATCACTGATAATACTTTGACTCTTCACACATTAAAGTTGATACAGAAGCTTTGTAAAATAAAAAATAAGCACTGTACAATAAAGTAAAGCAGAACCAACAACTAAATTGAGCTAGGAGAGCCTTGAATGTGTTCCAGAATAATAAATTATGACTTAATTTAAGAATCTATATATCAAACCCATACAAATATCCTTACCTAGCAGTCTCTTTCTAATGCTAAATGTTGTGTAACAGCTAAAGCTTCCAGATAATTATTTCTGAGCTAGATTCTGGTCTCAGCAAGACTTTTAAATCCTAACTGTGTAGCTGCTGTCATAAACTTGAAGTCTTTTCCAAAGAAATTACTTCAGCTTTCAAAAAAAAAAAAAAAAAAAAAGAAAAAACAACAAACACCACCCCCCCCCAAAAAAAAAAAAACAAACCCAAAAAACCAGTACTACTATAAATGTATTTGGATTGTGCTGGAAAAACAGATTTAAAGAAAATACATGATTTCTGTATGTGTTCCCTTTTCAGAGAAAAACCCTGTAAGATAGTTTCTGTAAACCTTTCACAAGTGTCACTTTCAGAGTAATCATTCTGAATATTATATATTCCTTTTGACATTTTCAAAATCTACAGTAAGATACAGATAATGAATTCTATAATTAATCTTTTAAAATGGGAACAAATTGAGTGAACAAAACACAATTCTGAACTTTGCAACATTATTATTTCAGTATTATCAGGCTTAAATAACATTCCATTTCCCCTTTTCCAAAACTGTATTTGACTCCATTCTGTATCACAAATACAATGACTCCATTTTATTCTGTATTAGCATGGATGCTGAATCATTTCACAAAAATAGGAAGGACAGCAATGATACCAATGATACTGAGCAACGATAAAACAGAAGCCAAGCTTAAAAAATATGAGCATCTAGCAGTACAGGTATAGCATGCAGAGTTAAGAATAATACCTAACTAATAAAGGGTGAAGGTTCAGAATCATATCTCCTCAAGACACTGATCTAAAGAAACACGAAAGAACAAAACAGTAGGTCTGAAATACGAGGTGTTTCAAAAAAGTAAGTTTAGGGGATTTTTAAACTTGGAGTTTTAATGATATTACACTTGCATTAAAAGAATTTAGTACCTTTCGCATATTTTTTCTACAAAGAATTATGTCTGAATATTTAAAATTAATACTTTTAAATGCCAGAATTCTACATACAACATTAGTCAGGCAGAATTTCCAATTTAGATAGATACATGTATATGCAAAGCAGTAAGAATTCTGATAGAAAAGATATCTAGTAAATAGATATCTGACAACTGTAGAATAAATAAAAAGGACAGAAAGAAACATAATTCTGTAAGTTTCATCTGTTAATTCCTCTGTCATTTTAGATGAACTGGTTTATGCAGTAATGGTTTTATATAATAATATACAAAATCAGGGAAGAAAAAGACACTTCACATTTACAAAGACCAAGACCCACATTTATAATCAGAAAAATATTACCCAGACAGTCTATTCTGGATTACTGCATGTACCAGGTGACTGAAGACATAAGCCTTCTGTCCTTACACCTTACAATTTACTCACATTTGCAATAATCTCCATGAAAAGTACAGCCTGTCATGTTATATTGTTTAATTAGTGACTTTTCAAAATCTACACTATATAAACGCAATTTTAGGGATTTTTTTATTGCACATATTTACTTACTTTTTATTGGAATAATGAGCTGAGGAATGACAGGAAGAATCTTGTTTCCACCATGTTCCAGCATGTCGTGGATTCCTTGACGAGCAAAAAACTCATGTGGAAATGTCGTTTCACAAAGGCCATGAAAAAAAATAGGCAGATAGGAATGATAGTCCAGGGTTTCTATCTCTACCTGAAAATACAAAATAAGAGAGTAAATGCAATTTCTCAATACTGATACAATATGATCAAGCCAACAACAAATAAGAGAATGAGTCCTTTAACCTACAGATATCCAGCATGGCACAAATATAAAAACTTTTACAGAATTCCCAGCTTTCTAAAATACTGACCTAATTTTATTTCCTATTAATTTCAGGAACAAAATTCTAAGGAAATTACATGAGCCTCTACTGTGAAAAAAGGTGGAAAACTTAGGTACCTCTTTCTAATAGGAATCTCCCTCCAATCCTAAAATACAAAGTGTGTTAACCTTCCCAAGTTAGAGACTTTGAAAAGGATTTTGCAAATTGCTAGTTTTGTTCCTGTTTCCTTCTTCCACTCACCAGTACCCTGATGTTACACACAGTCAGGATAGCAAGAGAGAAATAGAAGTTTGCTTCCAGCCTGTCAAATACAGCAAAGAAGTGGCTCAACAGCAAAGCACTTTCTCTGAACAGAATATTATACTCAAAATAATTTGAAGATAATAGACTCATAGAATATTTTAGGTTGGAAACTACCTTTAAGTTCCTTGAGTCCAACTGTTAACATAGCATTGCCAAGGAGAGAGACCTTATTGCTCTCTACAGCTACCTGAAAGGAGGTTGCAGTGGGTGTCAGTCATTTCCCCCATGTAAAAAGTAACAGGATAAGAGGAAATGGCCTCAAGTTGCACCAGGGTAGGTTTACATTGGATATTAGAAAAAAAAAATTTCAGCAAAATCATTGCCAAGCATTGGAACAGGCTGCTCAGGAAAGAGGTTGAGACATCATCCCTGGAGGTATCTGAAAGATGCATAAATGTGGCACTTAGGAACATGGTTTGACATCAAGCCATCTCTTTAGGCATCCATTTCCATCTTTAAAACACTGCTTAGCTGCCATCCTATTTTCCAGTGAGATTATGTTTTGGAACAGGGGAGAAACCTCCTCCTTCACACCTAACAAGCTTCGGGGTTTACACTTCTCTGGCAAATCCCATAGTTAGCAACCAGAAGATATACATTCTCTCTTTGCAACCAGGATTCATTTTCCTCCCTGCTTGGCTTTGAGCAGATCTGAATCCTCGCCTTGCACGCCTTAACTACCGACTTGACTGCTCCAATCTTTCATGTTGAAACTGATGCATTCATGATAAATGAAAATTAACTGGAACAGATACTTGAAAGTAAGTCCTTTACATAGGCTGTGAGCATCCCACTATTGGCAGACATAAAGCCATTTACATACTTACATAGTCTCACATACATTGACTGTTAATCTCTTACAGGAGACTAAAAAGAACAATTACTTAATACCTATACACTTATGTAAGTGAAATCAAGTCCCTGCAATGAACCATACAGAAGAAGGAACAAATGAAAGCTAAATTTCCTGTTTTCACAGCACTTCATATGATGGCTTCTCTGTAAACTTTCATCATTGGGTTTTGTTCACAAGAAAAAACGCCTTTATCAGATGCCTTTAGGGTCAACATAGAATCATATAGAATCAGAGAATGGTTAGGGTCGCACAGAACCTTAAGATCATCTACTTTCAAGCCCTCTGCTATGGGTAGGGATGACTCATCCTAGACCATGCTGCTCAAGGCTCTGTCCAACCCGGCCTTGAACACTGACAAGGATGGAGCATTTATCACTTCTTTAGGCAGCCTGTTCTAGTGCTTCATCACCTTCACAGTAAAGAACTTCTTCCATGTACCTAACCTGAACTCCCCCTGTTTAATATCCCAGGGTCAATTCTTTAGAAAGTTTGAAAATATCTATACTGAGCAACCATGTATGAAAAACTTTCCGAAACAAGAATCAGAAGACATTTAAATTCATTAACTGATAGATTTTGTATTTCTTGAGGGCAATCAACATTATACAGACAATACTTGTGAAATGGCAAAAGAAGTCTGACCTCAAACTAAGAACAGAAGACTGCAATACAACTACAAACTTCTGGTGACAAGCCTATGTCTGAGTAGTTTATTACAGCAAGAAACTTCTATCAGGTAAGAAGTGGCTAAGCAGACATAAATTATTGACAAAAAGCAGGATCAAATGCAGCCATTTTTTCCTGTTCTCTGCCCATAGGACAATAAGATGTCCTTTTCATCTTTTAATTTGTTGTTTGCAAGATTATTAGATTGCACTTTCTGTTACTGAATCCTCTCATTTCAGAAAATCAAAACCAAAATCTGCAACAGCTACTTGTGTCTGGGGAAAGGTTTAGATATGAAAGAGAGAGATAAAATTAGTAATGCATGGGTTTTCATAAAACTTGGGGTGTGGCTTCATAAGGAAAAACACCTTTAGCAGATTATGTCCTTTTGTTTATTTAAGAAATCATTCCTTCCATGGACTTTTGACAACTCTTTCAAAACTACAAACTATTTCTATGGAAAAATATCCTTGATGTATAGACATCCATGTTAGATTCCTGAATCAGGATTTGCAACTATTATGCTCAAAACACATACAGTGTAATCTCTTTGCTAACACCCCCCCTACCTGTATCTACTAGTTATCTCTTCTGAAAGACGTGGTATTTCTGTTACTCTGAGCAATTTTTCTCATCTGTTTTTTGCCCTTGAAATAATGCTTTTTCTCTTTTAGATATAAATAAAGCATATGTGTTCAAAAGCTTGTCAGTGTTTTTCAATCATTATAACCTGTCAATAAAAGATATTACCTGCATCTACCAGCTCTGTCTTAGACATTACACATACATAGAAATAATATAATAACCTTAAAGTGTATACGATTTCTGGGTTTAAAAATAAATCTGATTTTTACATGACATAAAAGCCTTATTATGAAAAAAATCTCTACAAAATATGACAAGCTGTAGATCATAAAGCATTTGTGTGTACTCCTCTCTTCTCAGTTAGATCCAAAGCCCTAAGTGGCTGGCAACTGGCATGGCTCTGAAAAGGAATCTGATTTCTAACTAATTTATTCAAGCATCAGCTGTCCAGCAATACAGCCAATTTTATTTCACATTTTCTGCTCTATAATAACTCCCACAACATGGAAGCCAGAAATATTTTGCCTCACATTCTATGGTGTGAAACCTCTTCCTTCTGTATTTACTATTTAGTTTTTAAAAGCAGCTATTATACAGCTGTTCCGAGAAAAATGTGATTTTTTTCTGTTTACACCCACAAAAATTCTTTTGTTTTCCACATCCACCTACAAAAAAAGCCCAAATTCTTGGCAAAATTTGTCCACATGTGACAATAAAGCTGTAACCATGGATGTTAAAAAAATCTCACAATAATTATGAACTTCTGTACTAACGGTTTGTAAGTTGTGAGAACTCAGCTTCTGAATTTTCAGTAAATAGGTCAAGCAATAAAAATTGGTATATTACTATAAAATATGACCACACAACAAAACCAACTGTACTGTAATCAACAAAATGTTCTGTTCCATTAAATTTCCATACTACTTATGCTCTCTAGGTGAAAAAGAAACAATATACAGTTCATAATTGTTGTTTTATCAATATGTATAACCAATGCACAAGATGGGAGGAAACTGATTACAGTATCACAGTTAATTTGTCCAGCAGAAAACCTATTCCTATGAACCGACTCATAGTAAGAGGCAATACTGCTGAGAAAACGAAAACCAAGGTAAAGAGGATAGATTGTATATAGCAAAAGTAAGCTTTATGGCTAATCTGACTATTAGCTGAAGAAAGCAAGCTATTTGAGAGAACTCGAGGTATAGACATTTTACAATAAGGATGCAATTTGCCTTTCTTAATTAATCATATTTTAAGTAATCTGGTAATCTATAAGGCAAACACAAGTTTTAGAAGCTAGTGTTTAAGATACATAAACAACTTTCCAACTTATTTCACACAACTGATTACATAATATTATGTCTTTGATATGATTATCCAAAAATTGGATTTGATCTCCTAGAAACACTACATGTAACTGCTTATGTACTCATTTAATGTCTTTATCTAAGGCATTAAAATCAGGTATAGTGAAAGAAACTCTGGATTTGCTAATTTGATAAGGAAAACCAGAAGTTTTTGTAAGAATTGTTAAGATTTCATGAGGATTCTATGGTTCCTTTTAAGATCTGCTTTCATCTCTGTATTCAAGGCTCTTGTCTCTTAATTCATAGTGGGATCTTAGTTTTAATCTTCACTATTGAGCAAGTAATGCTCACTAGTATTTCCTAGACTTGATTAAATGGAGTGTTTAAGATGGTAACTTTGCTTATTGTACAAAGCTCAATTCTGCATTTAGTCCCTCCAAGTTTTCCAGCAAGAATTACTCTCTTTTTAGTCCTATTACTCATTTAAATGAAGTTGGAACACAGTAACTTTTAAGTCCGAAAACACTGACTATGGTATGAAAACACTGACCTGGTATGAAAAATTCTCAGTTATGATGTGTATCTTAAAGTAAATGTAGTTCTAAACAAATTTCTCATTCTAATTTTAGGTGCATATAATTGGTAATTATTTTCCAGCTATTATTTCTACCTACTCAATGAGTTTCCTTCTACATATATCTCCAAACTGAAGCAAAACAGCTCCTTACCCCTGCAGACTAATTGCCTCATTTGCCTCTCTCCCTCATTTTTCCACTGCTTTCTCTCAACTGACACTGCTGCCTAACCCATGTGGATTCTTTTCAAATTCTGAGGAAACACTCATAATAAAAAGCATTCACTTACTTTTGGCTCATGCTTGATATGTATGGATGAGAAACATGCCTAAACCAGAAATATTTGATCAAAATTATCTGGCAATATGGCAAAACTATTCATAATCCACTGTAAGCAACAATGGTTAGAACTGGATATGATCAAGAACTCTGAAAATTAAATTCTTCAATTTATGCCATTACAGCAGACATACGACATGGATATTATTTGGAGAGTGATGGTCCTGCATATGATAAAGAAACCATTTTATTTCCAGTTGCCACACCTGAAGTTGATAATCTAATCTTACTAG